GCGTGCTGTCTGTGTGTGTGGGGGGAGCGGTAGTGGTTAGCGTGCTGTCTGTGTGTGTGGGGGGAGTGGTAGTGTAGTGGTTAGCGTGCTGTGTGTGTGTGGGGGGAGCGGTAGTGTAGTGGTTAGCGTGCTGTCTGTGTGTGTGGGGGGACCGGTAGTGTAGTGGTTAGCGTGCTGTCTGTGTGTGTGGGGGGAGCGGTAGTGTAGTGGTTAGCGTGCTGTCTGTGTGTGTGGGGGGAGTGGTAGTGTAGTGGTTAGCGTGCTGTCTGTGTGTGTGTGGAGCGGTAGTGTAGTGGTTAGCGTGCTGTCTGTGTGTGTGGGGGGAGCGGTAGTGTAGTGGTTAGCGTGCTGTCTGTGTGTGTGTGTGGAGTGGTAGTGTAGTGGTTAGCGTGCTGTCTGTGTGTGTGGGGGGACCGGTAGTGTAGTGGTTAGCGTGCTGTCTGTGTGTGTGGGGGGAGTGGTAGTGTAGTGGTTAGCGTGCTGTCTGTGTGTGTGTGGAGCGGTAGTGTAGTGGTTAGCGTGCTGTCTGTGTGTGTGTGCAGTGGTAGTGTAGTGGTTAGCGTGCTGTCTGTGTGTGTGTGCAGTGGTAGTGTAGTGGTTAGCGTGCTGTCTGTGTGTGTGGGGGGAGCGGTAGTGTAGTGGTTAGCGTGCTGTCTGTGTGTGTGGGGGGAGTGGTAGTGTAGTGGTTAGCGTGATGTGTGTGTGTGGGGGGAGCGGTAGTGTAGTGGTTAGCGTGCTGTGTGTGTGTGTGGAGTGGTAGTGTAGTGGTTAGCGTGCTGTCTGTGTGTGTGGGGGGAGCGGTAGTGTAGTGGTTAGCGTGCTGTCTGTGTGTGTGGGGGAGTGGTGGTGTAGTGGTTAGCGTGCTGTGTGTGTGTGTGGGGGAGTGGTGGTGTAGTGGTTAGCGTGCTGTGTGTGTGTGTGGAGTGGTAGTGTAGTGGTTAGCGTGCTGTCTGTGTGTGGAGTGGTAGTGTAGTGGTTAGCGTGCTGTGTGTGTGGGGGGAGCGGTAGTGTAGTGGTTAGCGTGCTGTGTGTGTGTGTGGAGTGGTAGTGTAGTGGTTAGCGTGCTGTGTGTGGGGAGCGGTAGTGTAGTGGTTAGCGTGCTGTATGTGTGTGTGTGGAGTGGTAGTGTAGTGGTTAGCGTGCTGTGTGTGTGTGGGGGGAGCGGTAGTGTAGTGGTTAGCGTGCTGTCTGTGTGTAAAGGGAGCTGTAGTGTAGTGGTTAGCGTGCTGTCTGTGTGTGTGGAGCGGTAGTGTAGTGGTTAGCGTGCTGTCTGTGTGTGGGGAGCGGTAGTGTAGTGGTTAGCGTGCTGTCTGTGTGTGTGAAGTGGTAGTGTAGTGGTTAGCGTGCTGTCTGTGTGTGTGGGGAGCGGTAGTGTAGTGGTTAGCGTGCTGTCTGTGTGTGTGTGGAGTGGTAGTGTAGTGGTTAGCGTGCTGTCTGTGTGTGTGAAGTGGTTAGCGTGCTGTCTGTGTGTGTGGAGTGGTAGTGTAGTGGTTAGCGTGCTGTCTGTGTGTGTGGGGAGCGGTAGTGTAGTGGTTAGCGTGCTGTGTGTGTGGAGTGGTAGTGTAGTGGTTAGCGTGCTGTCTGTGTGTGTGGGGAGCGGTAGTGTAGTGGTTAGCGTGCTGTCTGTGTGTGGAGTGGTAGTGTAGTGGTTAGCGTGCTGTCTGTGTGTGTGTGGAGTGGTAGTGTAGTGGTTAGCGTGCTGTCTGTGTGTGTGTGGAGTGGTAGTGTAGTGGTTGACGCTACGCTGCGCTACGAACCCGGCTATTCCTGCTCACGGCCACCACCGGTGACGATTATTTGAACCGGTCCTGGGCCTCCCCTAGGTCGACTCAGCCTCAAACGAGTAACTGGTGTGCTGTGTGAACATCGCCACTGGGGAGACAAAGGCGGCCGGGCATGGTGAATCCAAGTCCCGGGCGAAGCCGGGTAATAATGGATATATTTTGCACGCAAGTGAGCGGTGACGTCACACCTCTGTCATGTCACCCGCATGCGGCAACGTCACGCAGTGTGCCTGCTGACGTCACGCATCCCCCCTCCCCGCTACCCTCCGCGTCGGCCGTGTATTAATCGAAGACAAGAATCCAAGTCTCGGGCGAAGCTGGGTAGTAAAGCTCGTTGTAGAATAAAGAAAAAAACTTTAATCAACATGAAAGAACGAGGCATTTTCCCCCCCCAATAGGTAAGATAGATTGCACTACATTTTCTTAGGTCAATAACTTTGCTAATTTTATCTGAGAAAAAAAAACAAGCTATAACAAACACATTTTGTCTTTACTAAATGTACAATGTTTGTAGATTGTAAGAAGTGTATTGAATGTGTGTATTATAAATTAGCTATATACTGGATTTACCTTTTGTCCAGGTGATAAGATGTTCCAGAATAGAATATGCACCCCAAACTTGTGCCCGGTTTCAGTGCCATCTAAATGTGGTTGCACGCACACAGACACACCGAGCGGATTGATTCAACCCCACCTATTGCTTTCATATAAGAGAAAAAATTTTATGTTTTCTACTTTGTGGAATAATATATTGCCCAATGTTTACAATAGGCATAATTTACTGCCTTACATATACCTTTCTCAAAATTTTCATAAGGAAAGTGTTAAAAGTAAATGCAAACTAAACAAAATCTTGCTTTTAAAAGGTCAATTTATTAACATCCCAAATGTCGTTAAATTATAGCAGTCTAAAAATATCACCCTTGTGCATCATTATAGGACAATCAATAAACCATTTAATGTTATTTCTCCTTTCAAGCAGAAAAGCAAAACCATGTTAAATATAACTATAAAAAGCAAAACAAACCAATGCAATACATCAAACACCAACCTTCATTCAGATGTCACTGATAGAGGTCAATATTGCACAACGTTTAACATGCTATGAGAATATGGTATAAAGTGTTTGTCAGCTGTTAGCAGGTGGTCAATAATGTGCAAATGTCAGCAACCTGGTCTTCAGTTGAGATTTGTTTTAAATACAAAATTCTGCTTGAATATGATTTGCTTTAAACAATTAACATGCATTTTGTATTATAATCTGTGTATAAACATTGCCATATTTGTATGTAACAAGAGTTTCCCAAAAGAACAGATCTGCCCAGAACCAAAATCAAACGTACATTTGTAAAAAAAAAACAAGCAAATATGACCAGAATGTCCGCGCATGTAAGCACACAAAAATCTAAATTTACGCACACACTTGTATCACTGCATTGGAAAAAAAATCAATGGCTTTGGCACATCTTACAGAGACAATTACAGAGGCGATAAATATCTCTCCGAATAATTCATATAAACGGTCTAAATTCCAAAATAGTACATTATTTTATTCTCATTCAGGATTTCAGCAGCTGTGGAAATGGCAGAAACAAATTCTTGTTGCTTTTAACTTCCATATTTTAAACTCAAATTGCGTGCTTTCTTCCCATCATACATTGCGATGTAATACACAATTTAAGCTGAATGTTGTTTCATGAATATTATCGTCTGCCAGGAGATGGCAGTGTTTAGTATCATTCCCTTATCGGCATGGACTTTCTCGAGAAACTCAATGTTTCAATTGTGAAGTTGGCCAAATATCCCAAAATGCATAATCCTCTTGAAAAAATGTATCGGGACTCAGCCATCCTTTCATTTGGAATTGTCATTTTTGAATGCAATGTATTTGCTTTCTCTGTATATGTTGAACTAAAATTGTCTATCAATAATTACAATCATTTAACAGTACTCCAATTGTGTAATAAATGTTAACTTTGCAAATTCGGACATGACACCATTTGGCAAACAATTGCCACGTATTCAAATACAAGTCTTTAATATCCACTTTGCAGTCTATAACCCAATTTGATAATACCCCAATATATGACTGGATGGATATTGCCATCATTTATCATTCATTATTCATCATTACCGCTTCCAGCAAAGTGAAAGAGTCGGCATACGTTTTAGTCAAGCTGGGAATGGAGCCTCAATTAAAATTCTCAGTTGTTACATTTTATGTGTTGCTAAAATGTTGAAATATTCCATTTTGCCTGCAATTGTGGATATTATTTTTTACAAACCAATTCAGAAAGCTGTTTCTGTATACAACAAAGAGCCAACTATTTTAAACTTTAAAAAGTAAAACAATGCTAATATGTCAATACCAAAAGTAGGATAAATTACATTACATAGATTTGGTTTGTGCCTTGTGAACATGTTTTATTTATATTCTTCGTTCTTTTGGTAAAGTCACGTTGAAGGGAAACAATAAAATATATATAAAACAATAAAATTCTCACGACGTTTCGACTGTAACACAAACAGTCATCATCAGGTGTGAAAACCAACGGCAAGAAACATTTGAAAGAGGTGGCGGTTTGTATTTATTTATTTATAAACGTTAGCACCACGGACAGCGATTTGGCAGTTTGTTTATAAGGACGAGTCCATCTATGTTCAGAAAAGAGGAGGGGGGAGACGAAAAATTAATGTATGCTGTCTGAAGGCCACCGTAAGCGTGAACAATCAATTAAGACCCAAAATGGTTTATCAAATCCTTCCAATGATTGCTAAGCCAGAATCCATCTTCTCGGTTGAAATTGTCTGTGTTTGTATATGTGGATAGCCTCATGAACGAATATCTCATGGTAACCCGATGGCTTGCAAAGAACCTGTCTTGCCGTTGGTTTTCACACCTGATGATGACTGTTACAGTCGAAACCGTCGTGAGAATGTAGTTTTTTATATATATTTTATTATTTTATTGTATCCCTTCAACGTGACTTTACCGAAAGAACCAAGAATATGAATTACTGCAGTCACAAAAGCTTTAAATAAAAAAATGTTTTATTTACATTACTGCTAGGTCTATAACTAAAGCACTGCAAACACGTTTGCATTGGTTTAAGGTACATAGAGAGCCTACTTTAAAATAGCTGGCAAAACAGCATTTTATCTGTCCAAATGGAATATTTAATTCTACTGAACGAAATACATTCTAGAATCCACACAAATGGAAGCATGTTTTTAATTCATTAAAATGTGCTTCAGAATTTAAATGTGATTTTATTACAAACGTATCTTTAGCCATGGCTGAATTATTTGTAAACTGTTAACAGTATACATGACAATTTCTCCACACATTAATCGTACGCATAAATATACGCCAGTGGAGGATTTATGCGAGGCTGCCTCATAAAAAATGCAGAATTCAACACACGTTTGTTCTACCATGTTCTGGAAAAAAAACAATGAAAAGAAGTCTTCAACCTCAACATACCAGTTTTTTCAGCACCAGCTTGTAAAATCATGAGTGCAATCCGCGCGCTTAAGTTCAGTTTTCCAATCACACCTCAACTGTCAATCATTTCCTGGCTTACACATGCAAGCTAAATTTAAACAAGAGGGGAGAAAACCCGTTGATTTTGTTTATGTTGGTACTTATTCAACTCGTCTTGCATTAACAAACCATAGTAATAAAACAATGTGATAATTGTTCAAAAATGCCAGGAGTAGAAATGTCTGAAATTACCTTATTTCGTAGAAACCAGTGGCAGCTGCACTTGAACATAATCGTGAAGGGGTTGCAATCAATAGAATCCTCAGACATTTCTGGGTTCCTGAGACCTTTTAAAATCCACAGGTTCACATTGTCACACAGAGTCCTCTCAGCATTTAAGATACCCAATACAAATATTTAATGTGGAGTATTGTCTTTACCATAACTTCCCAATTTTGTAAAGGCATGTCAAACTCTAAGCTGCCCAATATTATCGTTACCTTTTGCAAAATTTCGGACTTCAAAGCAGAAAAGCTGGTGTATGCACAAAATATGGAGAAAACCCAATCAGCCTCATCGTGTTTCATGTGCCAGATGCATTTATGGGATGAATATCCAGCAAAAGTGTACGTGGACAAGCTAGCTTAGGACTATTATCATGCCAGCTAGAATCACGAGAGCCAGCCTATTCATCTTCTGCATTGTCCTTTGCGATTTGTCATTACACTTTTAAATGCAAATTGTATTTCCACTTACTCAAACGTTATAAGATATTTATAAACATACCATCCAAATCCTTGCAATTTTAAAACATTTCTATAAAAGTACAAACATTAGAATATATATTTATTTTCAATATTGTTGCCTCGGACAAAAGACACCCACAGTATATTTACCTGCCAAGAAGAGTTAGTTAAAATGTTTCTAACCTACTGCATACTAAATACTACAGAACATTGGAGATTTGAATATACAAAAAGGGAAATACAGACTATTACAAAAAGACATTTATTAAAATCACACTTTCCCCATTTTAAAGATAAAAATGGTTATTTACAAAGTAAAATCAGATGTGTAAAATTGTATTTAAACACTATACCAAGTTCTTACATATTATTCAGTTGCTATCAAGTGTCCATTGTTTTTTGTGTTCATTTAATTTCCAGTAAAAACCAAACCTCATGCTGATAAATTGTGCTTTACAGGCAGAGATAGCCAGGAATGCAATTATGATTGATTTCATACATGTGCAGCCAATGTCCTTAAGGACATGCCCGTGTACAACTTGAGTTAAACAATGTGTTGGCATCAATTTGAATTGCATTCATCAACAGTTCACTCTATAACAAAATCCGCAGCAAAAACAAGCTAAACATGAGACAACTGATGTTGCGGTGATGATGAGAGCAACGAAAAGTAACCAGATAATGCCCCTACAATAAAGCTAGATAAAATGCACCCATGTTCCATAAAAATATCACCTTTGAATGCAGCAAATTGAGCCTCTTATACATCTTGAATTACAAATATCCCACAGCATTTGGAAATTACATTTGGTGTAAAGAATGCAAAGCAATACATCTTAGATACAGTTCAAAATATTTCCGTACAAAATAAATCGTGCTGTAATTGTATATACACACACATTATGTACATGCATATATATACATGAATGCATATGTACATATATATGTATGAGAACGATGAGCAGAAGACTTGATTGAACCGCATGTCACCCGCAAGGTTTGATAAGTATACTTATCTCACTGAATGTGTTTCAGACTAATTAATAAGTGCACTCAAAGCTTACAGTTAGCGTTGCCAATTCATTTGCAAATAGACGGGGCTGGTAAAAATGTTAAAAGGGGATTTTGAACAGTCGCATGAATGTAACATGTGATATTCTACTGGGGCCTCTGCTTTGTGACACTTGTGCTGGTTCTAAGTGATTATATATATATTAGCAAACTCATGTACTTATGTCACAGGCAAAAATGCTGTGAGATCAGCCCAAATTCAGGACACCGACGTGCATTATGTAATGTGATTAAAAAAAAATCCAACAAAAATATCAAATGATAAAAATTACATTACTAAATGCAGTGTTGTAAGCAATATTGCTCTTATATAAATCTGTATTTGTATTTGTATTCTAGCATTGTTAATTCGATTAAAAATAGGGGATAGAAAAAAATATTGTGGTATTATAAATTGGAAACCAGAAATCCAAAGGAAGCTGTATTTTAGGAACATCCAAGATGCTGCTTGTATATAATTAATTAGTAGAGGGCTTCATTTAATTTTTTTTATTTTCCTTTAAGACACCTACTAATGTGGGGCAGATTATGTTCTAATTAAAAAGTAATGCAACAATAAAAATGTATACACTCAAATACCGATAATAAAGAACAGACCCAGGTGTTTTACCCTTAGCCATGGCCATAACAGGATAGTTCCAAATGTGAATCAATGCAAAATGTAAAAAAATACAACATCAATATCCACAGTGCAGAACAGAGATTCAATTCTCAGCATAATCGCACCACCACTTTATGCAACATCACCAGTTTTTTTTTCCCCGATTACATCATCATCATCATCATCGCCTCTCTCAAACTTCCAGGCTTCTGGCTGCCACACCAACCTATCGGAAATACTTCAGGCCTGCGACGAGGAAAAACTTCTCCAGAAATATCTCCGAGTCGAGCACGGCGATGTGAGCGGCACGTCCGATGATGGAGTTGGCCGTGCTGGGGAGAGCGTGGATGGCGTTGTAGCGCACAAGGCTGCACTCCTTATTCTCCAGCATGGGCTTCAGCAGGTTGAAGATCATCTCCATGTACACAGGACCTGTAGACACGCACCACAGCAAGTACAAACAAACATAAATTCAATGCTCATACTTATTCAGCAGCCATATGCCCAACGGCAATCATTAGATCTTTTCATAAGTGGCATGGCTAAATGTAATGTAAAGATCAGGAAGATTTCATCCATTACCAAAAGCGTCCACATTAAAGCACAACAGAAGCAAGTTTATTTGCCTCTGTCTTTCGGGTGAGTCATCAGCACAGTGTGGTCTGTGAAACGAATGGAACTCTGCATCTCAAACAATCCGAGGCCAAACAAATGCCTCATCTTAATTAATTTTGAGCATCGGAAGAATACCATTCATTTAAGGCATGGACTACTTGTGTGGGTCTCTATGTCAAATATATATATGAGATGCAGCAGTTACTGGGTGGTGGAGGAAACTGTACCGTTGGCACTGTGCAAAATGGGCCAGTGGCAAATATGCTGACCACTAGGCTACTCAGCCACGTAGTCTAAGAACATTTGTCCAAGTTCTCCTTTCGCTAGGCTGCACATTAGCAGCATCAACATAGATAGTTTTGCAGCACCAACATTACCAGAAAATTATTTGCATTTGGTGCACTTTGCTTATGAAAAAATAAACAGTACACTCCCTGCAAAGCCTGTGCACTGCTCGTAGAGATGGTATGCAAGCTGTTAGCCAATCAAAACACGGATACCGAATCAACATTAAAATACAATGGATATAATTTTTATATAAATATTCTCAAAAGCACTGTTTTAAGAAAATATTTAAATAATTTTGTATTGTATTAATGCCATTTGCAGAATATTTTTTATTGCATATTCACAATGCAGACCAAATACTTTACAGAAGATAATTATACTACTATTTTGTGTAGCAGCAAACCTTTGGTGCATCATTTTACATGCACAAGAGTAGCAATTTAATATAAAGTTTTTACAATAATTTTACAGCTTTATTTTTTGTCACAATAGTCAACTGCATATCTACTGGCTACGAATGAAAACAAAGGGACAAGAGCTATATAATAAATATTTGATAAGATAAGATGAATGATTATACCGTTGGTTTCAATGGTCCATTTAAAACGCCACAACGCTAGCAATCGATAATACATTTAATGGATGATTGTGCATAAAACAAAGATAGGAAAAGTGTGCATATTTTGATTGGGACAACCAATCAAGAAAATATTAAAAGGTACTAACACAATTTAACACCTAATTCTACCGATAACTAATTTTTATAATCAAAACGATACGCTCATCAGTTGCACGAAATTAAATCCACACTGGAATCGCTGCCAAAAGCGGTCACCCTTTGATGCAGGCAATAAATTCAGGGCTCTGCCTGATCGGGCTCTTCACCTGACTGTTTATCCTTTGTGGCCGTTTTGCAGACTTCAATGCGCGCCGAGTGGAAGGGAACGTAACGGTCTTGCATTGAGCCCACGAGCACCACGTACTTAAAGTGCTGAAGTCCTGGAAAACAGCAATCACATTGGCGTGGGCGATGGGAACACGCAGGAGGCACCAAAGGACACTACTGGAATTAAGCGAGTACTGTTTCAACACATTAAATATAAATGCACCACGTGGTTAGGAGCCAGCTTTCGATTCCATAACAGGGATATGCATGAATTACTTACTGCAAGATATTTTAACGCGCGAGCGCACAAAACCAAGATATAAACCATTTCTATTATGGACAAATACATGAGGTCACACCACACACTTCAATAAAGAATGTTGTAATACAAAAGCTACTCGATGTCTACATGACTATCAATAAACCTGTCACAGGAATATGGAATTTCCATGTCCAATCAAGTTAATGAAAAAGATAATGGAATATTACTGCAATAGCCCAGAAATGTGTGTAACGCGCGTGACGTCACTCCGCATGCCGCACCCCCCATCATTAATAATAATCATGGGCAAGTGCATTTTTACACTCAGGCGGAAGGTCGGAAAGATATATTTTATCGCAAAGTGGCTTCAAATATCACGTTTCTTTACAGAAAGTGACGGTCAATAAAATCTACGCAGCACAGTGCGACATCCGTACGTGACGTCACTGCAAAAGAGCCCCCCCGTCATGACTATAAAAAGAAATACAAAATGTTACGCAAATTCGCTTTAAATTTCACGTTCATTTATTGAAAGTTGATCAAATAAAGAAATCTACAGACGATTCTTTACAGAAAGTGACGGTAAAAAATAAATATATGCAGCAGTGCTACATCCGTATGTGACGTCACTGCAAAAGAGGCCCCCCCCCCCTCATTAATAATCATGAGCGGGTGAATTTTTACTCCCCCAGGTCGAGCGGCGAAACATTTATACGCAAATTCGCTTAAAATTTGACGTTTCTTTATTGAAATTTTATTTTTTTTAAATGTATACGCAGCAACAAGGTGCTTTTGGTGTCTTTATTTCTTCAGCAATTGAAACAAATTTTTGCTTCTAAATTATGATAAATATATACATTTCTCCGTGATTTTCCAGATATTGTATCGAATTCAAATTGATTTCAACCCCAGCGAGTGAAAGGAGAAGAAAATAAAGTATCACAGCAGTGATTTTGAACTAATTGAAGGCGAACATTAACAACTGCTGTTGTGCGCATATGCGGGGATGCTTATGCGGCGACGGAAGCTCATTTCATGCTAATCTCTCTCCCTAATCTCCCCCATTAACAAAACTCACGTGTTTGCGTCCAGGGATGGAATTCCTTTCCAGCTCAGACCCCGCCTGCTTGCCCATCGCCACATATATAACCTCTTGGTGTAACAGCTCTCTCGCTGGTTCAGCAGTTCCACTGCTGGATTATTTTTTCCGCCTGAGGACGACCGCTTGTGTTGCGATCGAAACGTCGTGCTATATTATTTTTAGTTTTATTTTATTTTTCTACCTACGTGACTTTACCGAAATAACCAAAGAGTATGGATTCCTGCAGTCACGAAAGCTTCAAACCAAGAATTAATTGAAGGTGAGTTAAATACAGTGCTACAGTGACATGAACTGATGATGTTTTATGACGTAGTTTTGTGCAAGAATCACTGTCATTAATACAGTACTACAGTGAAATGCAGTGAAGTGTTTGATTACATCGTTTTGTGCAAGATTCACTGCCATTAAATTTACACAAGATACAATAATACTCTGGTAAATTTTTTAGTAACTTTAATGGTTATGTTTGGTCTTTTTATATTGAAAACTTACTTCTGACTGTATAAGCAGTCTACTTTCTTCACTCTTCACTTTAAATCGTCCATCGGGGAACAAAAATTTGTCAGTTCAAAGCTTCAGGTGAGTTTAAAGCAGTGCTAAAGTTACGTGTAGTGTTTATTCAAATTATTATGAGACAGATATTGTTTGCCTTTTAAAATTGCACAAGATACACAAGAGTCCGTGCTCAAATAATTACAGCTCTGGACTCGATCGTGTCGGAAATCCTGCAGATGCATTGAATTACCCTCCAGAATTTCAAACGTCTTCAGGAATGCTGCCACACACATTGGCACTGAAGACAGGAGTTATCATCATGCTGCTCCGAATTCTGAACCCGAAGAACGGTCTTTGCAATGGAACACCATTTGATGGTCAAATCACTACAAAATAACTTCATCACCGCAGACATTGAATCAGAATGCAACCGAGACGAAATCGTCTTCATCCCAAAATCGACTTAGCTCCGCGTGATGTCACTCTTTTGTACTGAAAAGACAAAAAATTCCGATAATTCCTGCGTATGCGATGACGATCAACAAGTGCCAGGGTCAGACTTTTGAAAATGTGGGTATTTATCTCAATGAACCCGCATTTTCCCATTGACAGTTGTACGTGGCTCTGCTAAAGATCTAAAAATCCTCAGCGAATAAAAGTGTTCATCAATGATAGTCAACTGCAGGGAAACCTTTTGAACAGTGATAAGAGATTCACACAAAATATCGTACACCGAGAAATCTTCCAAAAGTCCTTAATTTCATTTTTTTAAGTTAAGAAAAGTGTATTTACGTGCAACAATTCCTAAAAATAATTACAATCACAAGAACATGTAAATGTACATCTTTAATATTACAGCTTCCGTCCTAGGACGGGCAAAAGGCTAGTTATCCAGGAATATATCTATGGGACCCTTTTTGCTAGTATCAAAGGGTCCAATAGATACAACTGCTCAACCAGAGGTATTTGCATTGCTTTTGTGCCGTTCGCCTTTTGGCGTTGTGGTCTAACACTGGTGAGACAAGGCCATACAGGAGGCTGTCTGGTGTAGGTCAATCAGGTTCAAGGACAATGCGTACATTATCGAAGCATTTTTGTTTTGCATACTTTACCACAAGCATGTGTGGTTAATGCAGACTTGACGCATTGCAATAGGTGCCTATTTGGTGTTTGAACATCTTAACACCTGTATTATTGTCGGAAAGGATAAGGCCTAATCTTTTACATAATTCAAGAATGTAATCTATCGTGTGGCTGCATGAGGCATGATACAAAAATACATATACAAACCATTAGACGCTTGGCACGTATTTGAAATGTTAAGGGAGAAGGAGTCAGAAGTGAGAAATAAATGACATCCTAAGACACTGTTCTATTGTTTGTGCATAGGTTCGGATTATTTCTTGTACTGACGTTAAACACTCACCTGTCTTCTGGCTGAGTCTATAGAGGAAGGTTTGCCGTGGGTCTGAGTGGTCACGGCAAGTCAGCTGCAGCAGAGAGCCAGACTTTTTCCACTTCTGCATAAACCAGAGGCCTGCAACCAAGGAACACAGGCTTTTATGACTGCCCAACCTCCGTGTCTCCAATTGCAAGGAGTTGGAGAGATCTGGGTCGTAAAGTTTTTAATATAAGCATGAAAAATATCTAAATTATGCATAATGTAATAGCCATTCTCCATAGCTACACTCATTCCTCAAGAGGAGTGAGAGGCTCTTGTCCATTCATTCCACATTATTTTTTATTCCACTTTCAGCTAAGTTTAGTGCTCCCCAATGCCTCGGCTCTGCCAGAAACCACAATCAAAGTTGTAATTCTTCCTTGTGCCTTTCTTTGAGGTATATTAACTTTAAATAATGACCACAACATTTATATAGAAGACAAATTCGACACATTAAACATTTGGCTGTGCAGAACATATGTATTCCAGTGCATAGTCCCTTAGCTAGACAGTACAGTTAAGAAACCTTTATTTCCATGTTTTCGATTTGCTCTTCTTTCAAGCCAAGGTTTACAAATGGTATCACATCATCTAGCCAAGCTTGTATATACATGTTTAAAGGGCATGAACCATATTCTCTCACGAATGTGAGATGTAAAAAAACTACAAAAATAAACCATACAAACACAGAATATCAGATTGGTTGCACAGACAGTTTATTATTTGCGATATATGTACACAACTGTTGGAAAACAGTACAAATGTGATCGGTTTTAAACTCTTTATGGATTAAGATATCTTATTTAAAAGAATTATAAAACCCTGTGTATGTAACAGGACATTTTTATAAGTTAATTATATTACTTGTCGGCGAAAAATAAATGAAAAGTTGCAAGCTTGTGCAACATTGGATTTTTTGAAGGGGGAAGAAGGTATGATATATTATATCACACAACTTGTCAAATTCTGCCACAGCGAAAATGAAACACAAATGTGTTTGTACTCGTACATAGATCTAATGGAGCACTGTATTTGTAATCTTCACACTTATTATCCCTCGCAAGTCATACGGGTGAGCTGTCCACAAACTGCTCTATGGACAGGCGCACACACAAAGCACGCCACACTTGTTTATTCCCTTGCCTATGCGACCGACTCTCGGCGGCCATTCTGTCACCAGTTTGTGCGTCAGTTGTCATTATTGTTGTATGTCAGAGCCAAGTCCATTTGCTTTCATTTCATTCGAATTGTCATCATCAATAAAAGCGAGCTCAGTAAAGGCATGCCGAGCTTCACATGCATATAAGAAGAATATGGTGGTTTAGCAACCCACATGCAATTCACTCTCTACACGTACACCCATGCACACTCACCTACACACACGTGTACAACACTCACCTACACACACGTGTACAATAAAAGTACAACCCTGAAAATTACTGCTACCTGCTGACGAACTGGGGGCATGCGTGTATAAAACGTAAATCACGCACGTAAATATGTGAACATCTGTGCCATGCGCACAGACATTCCATAGTGAAGAGACTTTAATCACAGATCAAATACCAATATCCATACTCAGATTAAACGTGAATCTATAATTTCTTAATGTTGCAGGACCACATTATTGTGGTAACTTATCATACAGTGTTATGAGCAATAAGGTCATGACATTGTAAGCTAGATCTTAGGAACAGAGGAGACGGGGCTTCTGAGTCACATTTAATTAATACATTAATTTGTATTTAGCCTTGACCCTGATAACCTGAAAATATTTTTCAGCACACAGTGCAGGTAAAATAGCATACATTGGTTTCTGTTCATACCAAATTACAATGGACTAGACCTTTTGTTCAACAGTTAACCTCAGTTAATTGCATAATAATTGCCTAATTAGCCTGCATTACTACGTTGCGTTTTAAAGACTTGTATCTAAGCATGTGTTTGAGAGCAAGTGTCTGTGGGTGTTTCGGACAATGTTCCTAACATTAGCATACACTGATCATTAGACGAGTTAATGAGAAGCATCCAACATGTGTTCTTTGCATATTTTGCATTTCAATCTACTTATGTTTGCTGTCTAATCAACCAATGGTACAATTCAGCATTGTCTGTAACTATGACCATTCCGTGATGAAATAAACCAATTATTATGCAGCTTTCAAAATATACTGGCACTAACCATGACCCGTGAATATACAAATGGTTATAGTGGAGTCTCCGCTATTAACTGTTCAAATATGTGCAAAAATACATTCTGCATTTATAACCATGGTGCTTAATGCATAGACCTCTGACCTAATCCACAAGAACAAGACAAAACTGGAAATGATTTGCATGTCTTTGTCCCTATATTCACTGCACTACCAAGCTGTTGGATGTCAGGCTGTGTGCAGTCATGAGTGCAGTCCAAGGCATGCCAGGCATTCTCACACGTGTGCAAACAAGTGACACAGGGGGTGGGGGGTTTTGTCGGTCACGTACAACAACATTTATGTGTGCCTACTAAACTTTCCTGCAAGGCAAGGCGACCTTTAGAAGGCAGTACAGCAAGTAGCTCATAGACCTATATGTGCATATATATACACGACTCTTATCCCATTGAATTTTCTACTTTTACGTGATTTTTCTACTTTTACTTAAAATTACTCAGTCTACTCGCACACAAAAATATTCCATGGGTGAAATATCCTAATGCAGAACCACTTGATACATTTTTTCAAACTCAGCGAGGTCTTTCTACACTAAAAAAGGCATTATTATTTCTTGGTATTTTTACTCCTAAACATTTGGTTTGCCTTTGACCAAACCATACGCCCGATCTCACCAAGGTTTGAGCATGGATAGCGATTTGATGGGTATCCACAATGCATAAAACAGTAATGTAACCGGCAGTGGCGCTATGTTGTAAGCAGCAGGCAGTGCAGAAAAATCCATTGTTGAACACAACTATGCTCCAAGGTCTATGCTCCCTATATTCACCCAACCTGCACTGACCAGACTGGTGAAGTATGGTCAAATAACCCCCGTGCCCCATATAGAGTGAGGAGACCGTCATTCAGCAGTGGATTTACAATAAGGCTGTACATAAATACGTACAATTCTGGGTTTACTTTTAAATATTTAAAGACACGAAGCTAACAGAAACAAAATCTCAAGGTGAATATGCCATGAAATTAGGCAGCATCCACCCTAATGCCTAACTGACTCTCTCCAACACAGACATGAATCCTCCACTGAAATGAAAATAACACAAGAGGAACTTTAATCTGCGTCTACACATAAAACATCTAAATATGTTCATCCATCAGTCTATTGGCTTTCCAGTTAAGTATTACTGCAGTTTTCTGTGACAATAGTAAAATAAAAGTATACTTGCCAACTCATGAATTAATTTCAGAAACAAAACATTAAAAGGGTCAGTGTTAATATTTAAAATTAACATTGACCCATAATAAAGTTTTACTCCAGAGTTGTTTAAAGTGGTTCGGAAGCCATGTGTTTAACACACCACTGGCAAGTCAAACAAGCATGGGCAGTACCCATGCTTGTTTGAACTTTGAGCCACAAGACAATCGCTTTAAGTTTTCCACAAAGTGGAACTAATTTTAATCAGCAGTCAATCTATGACCAGAAGTTAAACCCACATTTCCTTTTCTGAGGTGAATGCTCTTGTTTACATTTAATTATACTGGCAACTCATTTTTATAAACAGACGATTCAAAACGATATACTCATTCATTTGCACTAAATAAAATCCACACCGAAGATGTTGCCAAAATCTGCCACTCTTTGAACCAATGCTCAAGGATAATCTCTACAGTACAAAGGACGATATAAAGTATTGGTGCAAGTAGGAGCGCACTGACCAGTATTGACGAGGGTGCTACTGTTGTACAGGGTGCCCAGGTGGGGTCCGGATAGAGACAGGAAGGTGTGCAGCTTTGGCAGGTAGTACTTGAACCGTGGTCTTGCCAGCACCGAGCGGATGATGATGTTTCCCAGGGAGTGACCAACAAAGCTAACGATTCACAAAATCACAAATGTCAACCAAAACAGAAACTGAGCAGAACGGTTTGACATTAGGATGTATACAACATGCAATGAACATGTAGGACCCTGGGTTATTTCTCAAGGAAAATCATGTTCATCACTTTCACTTATCATGGATTGACATGTACACTCATCTTACAATTGTTTTTTAGTTCAAATCATGTCAAAGGAGGGATCAACTCAATCCATAATCACTCCAGAGTCCATGTAATAGGAATGTGATATTTCCACACTCTGGCATAGATCAAGAAACAGCTATGAATGTATATATTTTTGCTCAATTTGAATGGAACTGAAACATGTTCATGAAAAGCACAGATACTGTGTAATAATTTCAGCACATTGCGTATATCTGACCGTGAGAAACACGTACCTAAATGCTGATCTAGGTCAAAGATATCAAAAGAGCAATAGTTATTTGCATTTATCGCTTCCGTGTACAGAGTTTGATAGAGATCGGATTTAAATTGCCATTGTTACAAATGGAACAGTCATGTACACAGACAGGTTTATACAAGGGTGCAAAAAGATAGGGTCTGAGAGACAAACTCAGAGAAAATAACAATGAGACAAATGCTCATTCTCACTGAATCCTGTGAAAAACATAGTCACCAAAGGAGACAGGAGATGAAATATTAATGCATTTAATTTGAATAGCTGAATGCTCCACATTTTAAAACAGCTTTGTAATGGTAAACATTTATTATTAGAAACGTTTTTTTCGCATGTTAATTCTACACTTCACAGTTGAAAACTGTGTTTATGTTACATATTTTAATTCCATAAAGTACGTGCAATTGAGTCTTGCAAAACACAACACAGCAAATGTGATTCACCTGGAAATTAATGATTAGTGATACAACTTGCAATTTGCATAAACAAATATTTTTAGGCCATGTGGTACATTCATTTTTATGGACATTTATTTCACCAACATCTCTTTTGCACATTCACAGCAAACAAAGCAAGTTTATTCATTCCACGTGTGTTGTGGGGTTAGATGGAGGTTGCATCCAAGGGTATTAAATAATGCAATTCACATGCGATCAGACGGGGCCATCTGCAGGTAGGATTCGAGTGTGATTGAAGTCTTCCTTATCTGGCAACGGTTTGGTCATAACTCACAGCTGCCAAACGAAGAGAATTAACTATGGGAAAAATGCCAGTTCCTGTTCAATCACACCCCCATTACTAAGGCAGACCTCCACCTTTCCTGAATTCTGCGAGCACAACTCTTTCAATTTCATGTTTAACAGTGCACATCAATGGGAATCTAAACCTGCTTAATGAGGGTGACCACTCTCCTTCTGAAGACTGATCATTTCTATCGGGAAACGTTTTCCCCAATATGTAAAATGGCTCTCATATTTGCTCTCACTGACAGATCAAGTGCGATTCCATTGGTCTGTTTAAATTAGACATTCATGAGTCCACTACTCAGCAGATGATACGGATTGGTCACTGCCATGGCACGTTATTGAAAGCAGTGCAATGCAGTCCATCAGTGTGCATCATCTGAAAATCCATATAACCTTTGCTTGCCTTTGTACACTATGGCCTCAATTCATCCATCTTAGTCGCCTTTGAGGTGAAGAGCAACTTGTCACCCTGACAAAGTGTGTCTGCATGTGTCTGTTATTAATAAGCTGGCCCAATGAAAACTGCACAAGTACCATATTCATCAAACACTGAAAATGTTGATCATTTACCTGAGTAAGCTGAGGCCACACTAAGGCTTAATCAGTTGCTGACCTTGACAGCTTAAGGCTAAAGATGACATGAAAGCAATCTTCCATTTAGAGATAGCACACCTCAAAATAAACGCCACTCAACAGCGCTACACCATTAGAGCTGACACGGCATCTGCAGACACAATACATTCCCCACGGAGCATACACTGCATAAGAGTTTGTTTAAATATGCCATCTACATCTGAAGACATACCATAGCTGCTTATAATCTGCAGCTGGTTTTATTATTTGAGCACAGTTCTCAAGGTCACTTCCAAAATAAAGCTAAATAAAAAATCCAACATTACAAAATGTTGCATCTTTACTGCTGCTCCCCTCACTTTGTGTTACACAACCTTGGCTATGCTTTTATGCAGCATTTTTTAAACATGGTCAATGCAATTGTTCTCTTAGAGATTAACCATGACTGTGTCAGCTTTAAGCAACAGTATAATCACGCGGGTGGCACTTCCAATGAAACGCAACGAACGATGCTGGATGGCCACAATTTAAGGCTTGGCAGAGTCTGTCTGCATAATTGAACGTACAGTTTTCACTTTGCTTCCATTCGTTCTTTTACTAAGCAGCACTCAGCAACTGGACTAGTTAGCAAAACATCATTTGAAATACTAATGAAATGTTATATAGGTCTTACGTTGTAAATGAACAGTAACATTTGTTCACTAATTTAACACTACCATTTCCACTGTTTTTCCATCATTGCGCATCATCCATACGTAAATTACAAAAAAATAAAGTGGGTATTAGCATTCTGGATAAAGGGAATAAAGATAAAGAACACTGAATGTTCGTGCACAATGATAGTACCCCCATTTATTGAACTACGAAAGCAACAATTTACACCATCAATACCCATGTTTGTATGACAAGTACCTTGTCCACACAAGGCACTGATATCCAGGTTAACGCAAATTAAACCAGAAATTCAATGTTTGTACCGATGCAAAAACGCTTAAAATTAGCAAGAAGACATAAGTCAGTTATTACCAGAAAATTACACTGAGACTATGCCATGATAATGACAGCTACCAGAATATTATTACATAGACCGTGCAGGTCTGCACAGAGCCAATGTAAAATAAAAGGTCCAGCATCTCATCACCTTAATCAAGCATTTTCTCGAAAAGAACGCTGTGCAGAAATACACTAATTGTAATAAAATGTTAACCAAATTTCAAATGAGGAAATACATTCATCAATTCTCTATTTACAATAAAGCCCGTGCCTATTGTAATAAATAACCACTTAGCAAAGAAGATACTGGGTATATTACAACAAGCATATCTTATTAATACATTGTTTACAATTCAATTGCAGTCAAAATAAAAAAAATGTGTTTTAGGCAAAGACAGACGAAATAATAACTTACCTTTACGAATGATGTCAATAGGCATTTACTGTGTAATAATGACTTACCTTTACGAATGATGTCAATAGGCATTTACTGTATTGTTTAACTCAGACATTGTAATACTTTTTAACATTAGCAGAATTACAATCCTTGAACTTGTGCAACTTGGTTCAGTGGCAACTGCTATACATGTTAAGCTATTCAACCACTTTGACAGCATGAAGCATGTTCCATCAACTACTACTATACAGGATCATTCATTTGTCTGTGCAAAGCAAATTTGCAAGACTGCAGGGAGTAATTATGCACCAGGATTCACGAATGTATGTAAATCCTATTCGTTTCTGTGCAGAGTGTGAATTATACTGTCTGTTTGTGCATGGTATTTGAAGTTCCTGTACTCCAGGAAATGAATTCATCCAAAAAGGCTGAGATATACAGTCCAATATACTGCCAAAAATTGTTTTCTTTACATATACAAACCTGCATCCTATAAATCTTAAAGAGAGCATATTAAAGATATGGAGATGACTGAGATATAGCATGCATGCACGTAAAATGATTGACTGCACACTGAACACTTATAGAGTACGGGCAAGAGGATAAGGTTATATGCATATCAGCATGTGCACACCAAACACAATCTTATCACCAACAGCTGCCATGATAGCGACTACCCATTTTAGCTATCTGAGCTTTTGCAATAAGAAAAGCTATACAAAAAAATGCTACAGAATCAAGATTGAACCTACATTGTCTAGGCTACGGTAACAGTGTCTGATTTGGATTCATCTATTCAGGGCACGTTCACAATTGCAATATTTCTTCCATTTTTGAAAGGGCATTTAAGAGAAAATGTTTTACTCCATTTATTTTATGTGTGTATGTACCTGATTCTGCATAAGCTTTTTACTGACCTGAATATATTAGAGAGCAGAAATGCCACATTTCCATTCCTTCGTATCAAATGTGCAAGTTCTAACCTGATTTTGGAGACGACAAGGTTGTAGATTTGAATGTGCTGCACAATTTCATCCAGAAGGTGATCGGTCATGGTTTCAAAATCTGCAAATGTATCTCCCTGCAAAGCAGAACACAAAGCAGCACAGAATTTTTACATCAATCAATCGTGTGGCACAAGGCAAACTCAAGGGTGTACTGGTCACATACAGTGAGGGAAAAAAAGTATTTGATCCCCTGCTGATTTTGTACGTTTGCCCACTGACAAAGAAATGATCATTCTATAATTTTAATACTAGGTTTATTTGAACAGCGAGAGACAGAATAACAAAAAAAAATCCAGAAAAACGCATGTCAAAAATGTTATAAATTGATTTGCATTTTAATGAGGGAAATAAGTATTTGACCCCCCTGCAAAACATGACTTAGTACTTGGTGGCAAAACCCTTGTTGGCAATCACAGAGGTCAGATGTTTCTTGTAGTTGGCCACCAGGTTTGCACACATCTCACGAGGGATTTTGTCCCACTCCTCTTTGCAGATCTTCTCCAAGTCATTAAGGTTTCGAGGCTGACGTTTGGCAACTCGAACCTTCAGCTCCCTCCACAGATTTTCTATGGGATTAAGGTCTGGAGGCTGGCTAGGCCACACCAGGACCTTAATGTGTTTCTTCTTGAGCCACTCCTTTGTTGCCTTGCCCGTGTGTTTTGGGTCATTGCCATGCTGGAATACCCATCCACGACCCATTTTCAATGCCCTGGCTGAGGGAAGGAGGTTTTCGCCCAAGATTTGACGGTACATGGCCCCGTCCATCGTCCCTTTGATGTGGTGAAGTTGTCCCGTCCCCTTAGCAGAAAAACACCTCCAAAGCATAATGTTTCCACCTCCATGTTTGACAGTGGGGATGGTGTTCTTTGGGTCATAGGCAGCATTCCTCCTCCTCCAAACACGGCGAGTTGAGTTGATGCCAAAGAGCTCCATTTTGGTCTCATCTGACCACAACACTTTCACCCAGTTGTCCTCTGAATCATTCAGATGTTCATTGGCAAACTTCAGACGGGCATGTATATGTGCTTTCTTGAGCAGGGGGACCTTGCGGGCGCTGCAGGATTTCACTCCTTCACGGCGTAGTGTGTTACCAATTGTTCTCTTGGTGACTATGGTCCCAGCTGCCTTGAGATCATTAACAAGATCCTCCCGTGTAGTTCTGGGCTGATTCCTCACCGTTCTCATGATCATTGCAACTCCACGAGGTGAGATCTTGCATGGAGCCCCAGGCCGAGGGAGACTGACAGTTCTTTTGTGTTTCTACCATTTGCGAATAGTCGCACCAACTCTTGTCACCTTCTCACCAAGCTGCTTGGCAATAGTCTTGTAGCCCATTCCAGCCTTGTGTAGGTCTACAATCTTGTCCCTGACATCCTTGGAGAGCTCCTTGGTCTTGGCCATGGTGGAGAGTTTGGAATCTGATTGATTGATTGCTTCTGTGGACAGGTGTTTTTTATACAGGTAACAAGCTGAGATTAGGAGCACTTCCTTTAAGAGTGTGCTCCTAATCTCAGCTCGTTACCTGTATAAAAGACACCTGGGAGCCAGAAATATTTCTGATTGAGAGGGGGTCAAATATTTATTTCCCTCACTGTACATCGTTTTTAAATGCACAGGGATGCTACAATTTTCATATTGTAGTTTCTACAGATACAGTTGTTTCATAGCTAAATATTTAGTATGTTTACTTTAAAGTTGTCTGTCAAGTTACAAGGTGATAGAGAAGTCGAAATATAATGAGAAGCACTGAAGTGGAAAATAAATCTTCCTTGGTGGCATGCCCTTTATTTTTCCATTTGCAGTAAGGATGCAATCCCCCTGAGGAGAAAGAGGAGAACATTCTCCTTTCAAACCTGGATTAGGCTAGCAATAGATAGCACGAAATACCAACGTAAAAAAAACAATCAGGGATTTTAGCATAGTGTGAATCAATAGCACCCTTTACAATTATTGACTCTCAAAGTACACATGCAAACCGAATGGGACACAATAAGATACAGGGAAGTATGAAACAAGCTTGTACACCTGATTCAGGAAACTGCATAATTTACGTAATTACGGCACATTGCAACCTCAACATATTTGGATCGTGTTTGTTGATAAATTATGTCAGAGAGCCATCATCATCATTATTTTTTAGTTCAACAATAAACTGGTTTCTAATGCACAAAATAAAGAGGACACTGCAATGCACATTTCCAAGCTCAAAATGCTAAACGAAAAAAAACTGCGTATTGTATTTGTTCTTAGCTGTATCGACGAATGCACGGTGCCCATAAAATCATCGCATTTCACATTCTGCCGCTGCTATGGCCCATTTACACAAGTGGAAGAATTGAGCACATCCGTCAACGTTTTTCAATGTCCGTGGCCCTTTTTCGTTGGGCACGCTGGCCACGAAAGCATGCAACAGCCTGTTCTCTCCATCGCTCCCCATTTGCACCTGATTAAGCAGTCGCACACTAGTGATAATGATGATAGATGTAGCGCTGGCCTCGTCGAGAGAACGCATTGCTGCAGGCCAGCGCGAGCATGCATTAATTTATGCCAGCTCCTGTGGGGGGCCCCGCTCAAACCCATCTTTTGAACGCCATGTTAATCCAAATTGTGTTGTTTCGTGCTGCTGTATTTTCACGCCGCAGCCGAAAATGAGGTGACAAGTTCTGCCCACACGAAGAGAAATTAATTTTCAAAGCGACAGCACAGCACCACAATTGTTTCCGCAGCAATCAGCATCGGCCCTAAAATTTGCATGGCAAAACAGCTATTGCTTACAGTTACAGGGAACTTCGCAATGCGTATTATTATCATTATCATGAATACATTTTGCACACCCATTATGTATTTATTTAGTCTCGTGGCATTGTTTTGACAAGTTGTATTACTTGATTCTCAATCAGAAGGTTGCGAGAACAAAAATCCCAGCTGAGGGGTTAACTAAGCCAATCATCCCTCCGAGATTAATTAAATAAGTACTACTGCCAAAGGATATGAGCGCCACCTTAATGCCGCTCCATCCGAATGTGCTAAACTATGCAATTAAATGTGTATTAATACGCTTCAAGTTCATTTCCAAGACAGATGTTTAAAGAGACATTCAGTTTCACAGATAAACATTCACAGTTGCACAAACTATGAGAATGCTATGTTGCATCTTGGGCAGTCAGACTGAGGAGATTAATAGATGCATTAGTAATCAGATAAATTTGTCAATGCACTGCTAGAAGAAGCCTTCCTCAGTGTGCCAGTCATGGAGGTTGTTTGAGCATACATCGCCATACTCATCAGTGCAGGTTAGTAATGTGGTTTGGGTCCAGGACCGGTCCAAATCAAACTAAACAATTGTATTTTACCAGGAAAGGCCCACTGAGTGGCATAGCTCATTTTTCAGAAGAACTCTGGCCACAAATGATAACGAAGTGGCTGAGCACATGGATATTTATAGCAGCCAAATACTCAAAAGCGTGTTTCTAAATTATGTTAGCCATGGATAGGAATCAGACTCAGGTCACCAGGTTCATCGTACAGTGCACCAACCAATGCACCAAGGCAGAACATTTATACATATTAAATTCTCAAATATGAAATCGATTTTACATTTGAGACACTTGTAACACTGTGGAAGACACTGGACTCCAACTATTTTGCATAACTGTGTATGTGTTCATTATGAGTCAAACACAGATACTTTTAAAAGCACTACCAAAATGTAGTTCATCCAGGTTATGGACGCCTACTCAGAGCTTTGTTTTTTATGCATGTGCAAATCTCCAAGCCATTAGAAATGCTGCAATTCCTCCTGAAATGAAACAAAGATTTCACCTGGAAATGGCTACTTGAGAAAAAAAGTATTATTGCTCAATATTCACCTGATGCTGTATCATAAATGCCCCAATACACGCTATCAATTGAAAAAACAAGCTCAATATTACCGAGTTTATAAATCATGAAATGAAAACTTTTCTGCTTGTGCTGGAGCACAAAGAAAGTATATATTAGATTTGTCTAAACATTTGCTCTATATCTTAAAATATAATGATCTTGCCGGTAAATATAAATGTTAGCCTCAACCATTTTTGAATCCACTACTTGTTTATTAATCGGGCCACATTTTTGGACAGTGTCAGAAAGCATTCTTTACCATATACGTAAATATACCACACCTAGCCAAATAACATTCCCTGAAAGGATGCTCAACATACCTTGACATTTAACAGTGAAACTAATGCAACAATCTTAATATGTTTGGAATGCCATAATGACCATTTAAAAAACGTGTAGCTTTCATGAATCAGATATCTGGCGTTTGAACGTAAGCCTATAGCGAGGCCAAAAAACTAATTCCAAAACAATCAAACGGCTGTTTGGTCAGTGTCTGACAATGGAAGTGGGTCGGCGGTGGGGGAATTGGTTCCTTGTTTGGTCGATTGCATTGTGGCCTTCCAAACTGGCGAAAATCTTCAACAAAAAATGAACTTCCAGCCATAGCATTATTGATTTGACAGTTGGCAACTTACAATAAAAAAAGTTAAAATACTCTCAGTCAGGCTCGACTGGTCACGAACCTTCCAGGGTCGAAAACAATACACACTGCAGTACTTTACTGGAAGTCAACAATGGCACTGCTGGTATTGGTTCATGGCCAGTAATCCAGTTGCCCCATTGCAAATTTTTACTGATATCTATTTTTACTTGACAAGGAAGAGTTGGGACTCAGTGAAATGGTTGACACAAAGATGAGGCATGTGTACAAGTTAGACTTCAGGTGGACAAGACAGAAAACACAAGGGAAGCTTTCAATAAGCTGTGAGTAATGGTAGGCCTTAATAAATATAGCCACGAAGTGCACAAGACCATGATGTTGTGGCCTATGTTGCTGTGTCTGCAGAGCTGAAAGGCTTTAAAGCAAGTGTTGTATTTAAAGCATCAAGAGTTTTAAAAACGTCCCCGGAGATTGGGGGCAAGACGCGCTTGAATTAAATTTATCGGCAAAACATGCGTTTTACTGTTCTGCCAGTCACCTTACAGTACAGTGGGTTGGAAGTAGAAAAAATACACAATGAAAACACGCGAT